AGCTAGCTCAGTTAACCAAAAGAATGAAAGAGCACCTCCAAATCAACAAAATCAGAGATGAAAGGGGAAACATCACAACAGACACCAGAAAGATACAGAACATTATAAGGGAATACTTTAAAAACCTATATGCTACTAAATTTGAAAACCTAAAAAAATGGATGCATATCTAAAGACATGGGAACCACGAAAACTAAACCAAGAAGAGATTAACAGCTTAAACAGACCCATAACACAAAAAGAAATTGAAACAGTAGTACAAAACCTCCCAACTAAAAAAAGTCGAGGACCAGATGGATTTACACCAGAATTATATCAGACATTTAAAGAAGATGTACATCCAATACTACTTAATTTATTTAAAAAGCTAGAAATGGAGGGAGAACTTCCAAATTCCTTCTATGTAGTCAGATCACTCTAATACCAAAGCCAAGTACAGATACAACCAAAAAAGAAAACTATAGACTCATATCCTTAATGAACATAGATGCAAAAATTCTCAACAAAATATTGCAAACCACATACAGACACACATCAAAAAGATCATCCACCATGATCAAGTTGGCTTTATCCCAGAGATGCAGGGATGGTTCAATATATGTAAGTCAATACACGTCCTAAAACATATAAATGGGCTCAAAGACAAGAACCACATGGTCATCCCAACAGATGCAGAGAAGGCCTTTGACAAAATTCAACATGCATTTATGTTCAAATTCCTAGAGAGAATTGGACTGGAGGGAACATACCTTAAAATAATTAAAATCATATATAACAAACCCAGAGCCAACATCATTCTAAATGGAGAAAAACTGGAAGCATTCCCATTGAAATCAGGAACCAGACAAGGCTGTCCACTATCTCCACTTCTCTTTAACAGTACTTGAAACTCTTGCAAGAGCAATAAGACAAGAGAAGGAAATTAAAGGAGTAATAATTGGAAAAGAAGAACTCAAATTATCCCTTTTTGCAGATGATATGATAATATATCTAAGAGACACCATAAATTCTACCCTAAACCTCCTAGAAATTGTTAACACGTTCAGTAAAGTGGCAGGTTTCAAAATTAACCTACAAAAGTCTGCAGCCTTTCTATATACCAATAATAAGCAATCAGAAAAAGAGCACATGGAAACACTCCCATTCACAATGGCTGCAAAAGAATTAAAACATCTCAGAATAAGCCTGAAAAAGACATTAAAGAGCTCTACAATGAAAATTTTAAATCTTTAAAGAAAGAGATTGAGGAAGACGTCAGAAGATGGAAGGACCTCCCATGCTCATGGATTCGAAGAATTACTATTGTGAAAATGACCATCCTACCAAAACACATTTATAGATTCACTCAATGCCAATCAAAATCCCCATGACATTTTTCACAGAATTGGAAAAAACTATCCTAAGATCATATGGAACCACAAAAGACCTCGGAGAGCCAAAACAACCC